TGCACGTTCGACCAGAGAGTGCAGGCGATCTCCCACACGGTCAGAAAAGGCTTCCACTTGTGAAGAAGCTGCCGAAGGCCCACATGATCCCTTTGTTTCAGAAGCTCGATGTCATAGCGCCGATCCACGGGCTGCAAAGCTCGAAGTCCGTGCCGTGGAGCCTGATGGGTGATCTCCGCATGGCCCCCACACACCTCGACGATATCGGCCTTGTAATTGCGTAATCGTCTGGCAGCCTGGGCGCGGTTGAGGTACACCTCGGCCTCCATGTTCAGCACCTGGCGGAGCGCGCGGACATTGCCCAGGAGTCTCTTCTGTGTGCCAGCTCGGACAAGAAAAGCTCCGGCATCTTCTTGAGTCAAAGGTTCATCGGGGGAGCCACGTAGCACGCCGTCCTGCAAGGACTCTTCAGCAGGTTGGCGTACGCTATTCAGTACTCCTCCTCGTCCCCCTCGTCCAGGTCCTGGCCGAAGAAGTCGTTCAGGTCCTCCGATTCCCCCAGCTCGCAATTCTCCTCATCCAGGTCTTCGTCGTAGGCACTCCAACCATCCACGCTCATCCGTTCCGAATCCGACGCCTGGGGTGTTCCGAGCCATTTCCTCCGTCGCGGGTACTCGGCCAGGGTGTTGAGGACGTGGTTGAGGCATAGTCGTAGTTGGGGGAGATGGCGCTAGGTCTCGCCTTGGGGCCCGCCGCCTTGGATTGAGCATATCCCTGCGAGGAGGTGGAGGAGTGATGCAAGGAGTTTGGGGACCGAGCCTGTGCTCTGGGCGGCACAGCTCGCGTTGCGCTGGTGACGCCTGAGTCGTTTTCCCTGACGCCCTTCGGCTTGATTCCATCTCGGATCTGCGCCATCACCGCTTCCGGCAGGTTCAAAGGTGTCTTCGCGGAGGGGTGAGCTTTCGGCGTGGCGGGGATCATGGTTCCCGATGGCATCAGAACGAAGCGAGCGCCACAAAGATCGCACATCCGGACTCGGACACCAGCTGCGCCATAAGCTCGGAGACCCGAGCTGTGGTTGCACTTCTGCGGGTCCCTCACATACTTGTTCATCTCCAGCCCCGACTTTGCAGCCACTGCTGCCGCCGTCGTGAGAAGGGTTGTCGCCGTCGAGGGAACCCCGTAGATGCGGAGGATCGCGTCCTTGAGTGCAGGCTTCAATGTCACCATTGAGTACAGGATCACGGTCTGGTTCACGTAGGACACGAAGTTCAGGAGTCGCCTCAGGAAGTCGCGCCATCGCAACAGCCATGGCGGAGGAGGCATGAGGAACAGGTTGGGCAGGACGATCGATGGCCGCCAGAGACCTTTGATCCGCCAAGGCTGCCGGGTGTGCTACATCTGGAAGGTGATGATCCAGGACCTTGGGCGGCCATGTGAACTCATGCTCCGGCCACTCATCGACTCGGATGGCCAAATGACCGCAAGGCGATAGCCACAGTCGAGAAACTCTATCGAATGCCCGAAAGTAAATCTCACCCGTGTGAACATCCGGCACTGCCCCCAATGCCTCAAACACACGCCGAGACATCAAGCCCGGTGCTTTGGCTGACACTTCACTGATGCACATGACGAGGGGGATCCCTGCAATTGCTGCTGGATATGCATGTCTGCCCAGGCTAGGGAACGCTGCTGCAGTGGGGCCGAAGAACTTGCACTTATCGGGGAACTCAATCCGAGAAAGAGGCTCAATCTCATGGGCCTTCTGTACATGCCACTCTGCTCCAGCTACTTGCCGTTGACACCCCGTATCCGCAATCATGTACGCTGAGCTGGCGCCTTCGCATGTCTGCAGCAAAATGGTGGGTGTCTTAAACATCTTAGCCTGGGCAACCATGAACTCACTCAGATCAGGCAGCTCAAAGCGCGGTGGCTCCTCCCCATTTTCGTCTCGAGCTTCCAAGTCGGAGGACACCATCCACGAGCTTTCCGCCCCCCAGGTGCCGGAAGTGCCTTCGGCATTCAGCACCAAGCCCTCATAGCTTGCAGAGGTGAGCTGGGCACGTGCGGTGTTGTACGATGGGCAATCTTTCAGCCAGTGGTCGGCCGATCCACATCCAAGACAAAGGCTACCTTTGAGGCGTTGTTGTTGAACCGCCGAGTTCTCGGACTTGCCCTTGCCGCCAGCGGATTGCTTGCCCTTGCCTTTGGCCTTGCCAGCGTTCATGCCCCGGCCGGATGACTTGCCTTTGCCTTTGGACTTGCCGCCTTTGCCAGTCTTGCCCTTTGACCCAGCTTTGCCAACTTCCGGCTCGCGCGCTGCCTCAATCAACGCGGAGATGTCCTCGTTGCCGGCCCAGTTCGTGTCCTCGTCGGCATCCGGGTAGTTCTCTTCCACGTTCTGGTCCCGGTCGCCGGTTTCCACATAGTCGAACATGTCCTCGTCGTCGTCGTCGTGGTCCTCGAAGTCGAGGGTCGCCTCGCCTTGTTCGGGCACCGTTTCCAAACCACTGGGTTCCTGGCCGTTGTCCAAGCTAACTTCCCACTCGTGGTCTGGTCCTTCATCGTCCCAGCTCGTGTTCCACTGTCGCCAGCGGCCAGAACCCGCCGAGGTGCTTGTCGATGGAGTTCGCGACGAAGCGCTCCTTCCACGGCCTCTGCCTCGACGGAGATCGGGTCGGCCACGAGGAAGACCTGTGATGCTCATGCCGGCGGGGTACTGGACGCGAATCGCCTCCTGGATCGCCCTCATGTCGTAGCGATTCCCCGCCGCTAGCAGCAAGCTTGCGGTGGATTTCTCGTCCAACCTCAAGCCGTCCAGCAACTTCACCACCCTGGCCTGCTCCGGATACGGTGGCACCTTGTTGTCGGCTAACTTTCTCTCCAGCAAGCGGAACCGTCTCACAAACGCCGTCACCGACTCTCCTTGAAGTCTCCCGATGCTCTCGAACTCCCGAATCGTGCCCCCCTGCCTGAACAGCTCCTTCTCGCCGAACGCCGCCTCCAGGTCCCGCAGCAAGATCTCGACGCCGTCCTTTTTGTCGAATCGCGAGTCCTCGATCTCCTCGAACTCCAACTCGGCTTCGCCTTCCAACCTTTCCAGGGCCCTCAAGGCCTGTTCTCCAGGAGGAAGAAACTCGCGTGTTAGGCGGGTCCACCGAAGGAGCCGCCTCCTGTAGTGTCTGAAGCAGAAGGGATCTGCCTCCACATTTCCATCGAAGGTTGGAGGAGCTGGGATAGCTCCAGAGCGCCAGCGTTTGGCGTCCACGCCACCACCACTGGCCTGGGAGCCTCCGCGGGACCCTCTCTTCCGCCGGCCTGAGCCAGCCTGCCCACTCTCACTTCCACGGTTCGAAGCTGCGCCCGAGCCACCATGGTCCTCAGACAGGGTTGCCACGGAGTCTTCGAGGTCGTCGGCTTCAGCGCCTGCGCCGCCCTCATCTTCCTGCCGCGAATCACCAAAGTCAAACAGGTCATCGTCGAAGAAGAAGGGCGTCTGCATCGTAGCCCATACGGAGTGGCGTCGCCGGGCTAGTCGCTACCAATGCGTAAGCAGCCAGTTTAGTGGAGCCTGGATCTCAACGCACAACTCCCAAGTGGTCTCAAGGCTTTTGCATCTAGCGCGCATCCCTGTCCCTGTGAGCCTTCAGTTCGGTCGGGCGCGTGTGGCCAACAGCAATCATATGTGAAAGGGAGCATTCATTTGACAGAACGAACCATCACTACCACTGCCATGCGTTCTAGAAGTAGCACACGCGAGAAACGAACACATAAGTAGCATCCATGAGTGACAACGACATTTACCCTTGCGGCGACCGTCCTTGCAATGGCCTTGCGGAGATCTTTTCTCTTAGGTATGGCCCTTCCCTTTTGTTGTATGGCTGTTTGCTTGGCTCATCGGATTCTGTAAATGTCAGACCGAAAAAGCATCTCCTCGTGTATTTTTGAGGCAGATTCAAAGCCAAACGCCCTGAACAATTGCAGCATTGCTGGTGGTTTCCAGGTGTCGGGCAGCTTCAACAAAGCTCCACCCGCTGTAAATGGCCATCTGCAAACTCTACTGTCAAATTGCAGCATTTCCAGCTGTGCACGGTTCTCGATCGATTCAAAAATTCGCCTCGGCTTCCTGCCTGAACAAGCAGACCCGGATCGACCCTCCTTCCACCTAACCCACTTCCCCCCCTACAAAATTTTGACGCCACCCCCCCGCCCTGTGGGACCCCCCCCCCCCAATCGCTTGGAGGAGCTGCAAACCGATGCTGTGGAGGGTGCCGCCTGTCAAACCCCCCCCCTCCCCCCCCCGCCTCCCCCCTCTCCCCCTCCCCCTCCCCCCCTCCCCCCTCCCTCCCCCTCCCCCCACCTCCATTCCTCCCCTTTTTGTGCGACACCCTCTTTCCTCCTGTCCTGTCCTGGGGCGCCCGGCTGCCGAGACGGCGCGCGCAAGCGTTTACAATTACAGCACATCGCTTCTTCCAGGTGTTCAATAAGGCTACAAGACTACAAACTACACAGGCCCGGATGCCGTGGTTGGTTTGCCGAGTTTCCACAGTGCTTAGAATCACCGACTGCCTAAACGCAGCCTGTCGGCTCTGTGTGGTGTGTTATTGCAGGGTCCAAGTGGTAGTTGTTCAATGTCTTTGTTTGCAAAGCGAAGGGGGAATGATTTGTAACAGTGCGGTGCATGTTGATGCACGCTGGCTCGAACTCCTCCATGGCGAATTGTGCTTGGCTAAGCTTTGTTACAATTGGAGGTCCCTTCCTTCCGCCCTTCCTTTCTTGCAACACGGCAACAATCAGTCTAGGGGTCGCTTGTTCGACCGTCAAAAAACTGGCCTGCTAGTACTTCCTCACACCCATGACCATAAGAATCAGCTCACACATGTTAGACATACCATGGATCCAGTCAACGTTGTAGAAACGGATTCAGACTTCCTTTAAACTCGGCTGTCTCTGCCGCCTTGCCCACTTAAGGAGCGTGGATGCCTTGTTGGTAAGGCTTCTCCGGAAGTCCTCGCCTCATATGCCCTCGACTTTGGGGTGCAAAGCAAATTGACTCCCACCTCCGCCCCCAGCAGCACCAGATTCAGGAATATCCTGAGCCGTGCCGGTTCTCAACGAATCATGACGTCTACCTCCTTTCGCTTCTGCTCTGCAAATGGCACAGAAGTAATTCACAGAATGAGTTGCAAGGCGGCGACCAGCGTGGAAAAGAACTTGGACGAGACGATCCTCCCGAGGCGCGATCGTCCCATTTTGCAGCCCGCAGTCTCGACAATTTTAGGGTTCAGGCCTACCTGCCGAACTCTCAAATGCAGCAACTCAGGGGCACCTGAGCCGACGCATGATTTCTGACAGTGCTTTGCCTTGTTGCCCAAGCATGAGAATGTCCTCAAACCTACCCTCAAGAGCTCCAGAAGCTGCTTACGCCACAGTGTTTGGGCAAAAGCCTTGTTCTGGCCTCAAAATCTCCGTTGTGTTGCCAAGTAGACGGCCCAAAAATACCAAACCTTCCCTGTCCTAGCTGCACGCCGGCTTCCCTTCCTTTGGCTGAAGAACTTTGGGGGGGGGGGGGGGGGAAACACAGCCAGGACAGGGGGGATTGATTCGTCTCAGAGTACAAACTCACAACAAGACCTCAAGTTAGGGCTCCGAAACTGGGTGCTGGACTTCTGAGGTTTGAGAGGATGCTTGAGGATAAGCCGTCCTAAGCCCTTGAGGTTAACAAGCCCCCAAAGCCTGTCTTTCTGGGTTACATGGGATGCAGCCTTCTTACAACAATCCACAACAACGAACAGGTTTCGGACTCACAAATGCTGGATCGAGCCACATGTGGGACGACGTCTGGTTGGAGAACGTGCTTTTGGCCTGCACTTGACGCTGAAGCTCTAGACAGCCACTAAGTCTTTCTTCGCGGTCTAAACAAGGGTTCCCTTATTTTCGGCCACAACAAGCTCAAGCTACATCCACACCCCAAACAGAGAAGAAACCACGCAAAAGGGGTTGCATTGGTCTTCGGGGCCAGTTGTACCCACCCCTAAACTCTATAAACCCTGTGCAATCAGGCATGCACATCCATGGTACACGGTGCCGAAGCCAAAGTGACCCAGCAGGCGATGTCTGCAACCACGTGGGATGTCGGGGTTCTTGTGAATGTGGTAAGCCCATGGGTTCTCGTCTCCCCGAGTTTGCAGACGTACACTTCTCGTGTTGGAGAAGCTTCAACAATGCTATACCCATTCCCTCCTAGACGAGACCCTTCGCCGGAGATGCTTCACGACCTGGCATCGCCGGCCTTATGCAAGCACCTTTAGGCTTGCCATGCCTGAACTAAAAGCCGCCTGTGAACATCAAACACCTTTTGATCATCAATGTAGCCAGCTAGAATGTCAAAGTATTTCCCCAAGCTGGTCCAGGTCAGGATTGCTAGTACATGGCCCACTCACTGCTCAAAGCGCATAACGAGAAAAGAACTTTGGGCAAGCACCCAAGGCACTAAACCGCAAGCGGCCACAGCTTCTAGCCCACCGTTGGATTGTGACGATGCCTTCGCCTTCATGGCCTCGAGGTCGCAGTGTACAGAATGCCGCGCCGCTCTCCCAGACCTTTGTTTGTCAGATGAATGGAGCAAGTTTGTCACGAAGCTCGAGGCCCCCCCCCAAAGCCCAAAAGCCCACGTCTCCGGTGTTGAGCGATGTGGCAGAGCACGTGTTTCGGGGCCACAAGCTGCGACGCTTAGGTACATGCTCCTCCAAAGCCATGCCAATTTGTATTTGTAGTAGGGGCCGAGGTGTATCAGGGACCTTGTTCACTTCGTGCAGCAAGGTTCCACTTCCCTAGACCTCCGAAAATGCCTGTCAAGATACCCTGAATATCCCCAGTAAGGTATACATTGGGACCCTTATTCAGGGATCATTGAGGTGTTCAGGCTTCCAGTGCCATTAAAACAGTAATGCAACACCCGCTTCTCAACGGATGAGGCACATCTCAGGCAGCTCGTCGGGGGCATTTCGGCTCCTTTCGCCAGTCACGCCTCTGCAAGTCTTTCCGTTTAAGCTTCCCGGGTTCAGGCTTTGAGGTTTGGGCTTACAGTCTTACAGTGTTCGGTTGGAGGATGCCCACGACATACCAGGACATTTTGGGCTTTGTGACTTATGTTGCCACGTGCATGTCTTCTGCCACGCGTTCGCAGCCGAGGGCCAACGACGGAAAAAGAAAAGTAGCCTTAGATGGCCTTTAACCAAATGTTGAACCCCCCTTTGGGTGGATCAGTGAGAACCCTTGATGTCTGAGTCTGACTGATCAAAAGCACGTAAATCGGCGTACGGGAGGCAACTGCAAGCCATGATGCCACCAAGATTCCCTAAAACCACTCCCACCCTCAGAGCTCAAGCGCCTGGTGGGTGGCTGGTGTGGCTGTTGCGTCTCAGCGTCGGGGGAGCGAGTAGTCCTGTGAAAGACGGGCGCATCGGAGATTCTTTGCAGGGTTTTGCGTCAGCCCCAGTGTGCCGAGGTGCCGAGTCGGCGCGCGCAAGCGATTGCAATTTAAGGCACTGATCTGATAACACCCGCCGAAGACCCGCGCCCTAAACCTACGCAACCCTCAGAATTGAACGCCGGAAGCGGATGCTCCTCTGGAGCCAAAGGAGCTTGATAAGTCAGGCTTCTGGAAACGGCCGGCCTGGAGGGCTGCGCTACAGAGGGGCAAGGTGACTTTAGGGCTTCTTGGGATTCTTGGGGCTTTGGGACTGGGCTGAAGGCTACATTCTGTTTCAGCTGAAGGGCAAAGCGCTGAACCCTGAACCCGCAGCCGAGTTTGGGCTTCGGATTCAGCAAACTTCGGAGGCGAGGGCCTTCAAGACTTCCTAAACATCCTGAGCCAAAAGACGCTACATGCTAAGCCCTGAATCCCTAAATCGTAAGCCGTCCTGGGCAAAATCCGCGGACAGCGTCATCGCTGAGAGGACAGGGCTGTCGACCGATCTGGGCTTGCAGGTCTCCGCCCCTAACCTGAACCTGAACTGAAGCCTGCAATTCCAAACAGCCCGAACTCCTGTGGCTTGGGTTCCAGAAAGTTGGAACATGGTTTAAGGATGATTAGAGCTGGGATTCCCTTTAGTATACCTTTCGGGGCGTGGTGACAAGGATGTTCCAATTTGGAGTCTACTGTAGGGTCCACCAGACCCCCATTACTTCATTAACAAAGTCCCAAGCACGGGATCAGCCTACTGAAGCTTTCCATGCGCAAGCTCTCATGAATCCATGGAAAGCCCCAAAAATCCCGTACCCTAAAACCCTCGATTCGGAAGTGCCAGCATGGGTCGACTGCCGGAAGAAGCTTTTTCCAGACTCTGACATCCGTGTCACCTGCCGAAAAAGGCACAGCGGGCTATGAAGGCTTCAGGCTTTACTTGTAAAGAGTTTCTGAGCTGACTCACGGCAAACTGTGACTAGGCTCTGACTCTGAGAACCTGCAAGGATTAGATCTAGGTTACAACAGCCCCAACTTCGAGGCTGTCTTTGTCTTCGCGTGCCTCCTTTCAACTGCTGCTAGCGTTGCGCGAGTTCGCTTGTTGGTGGCCAAACCACTTGAGCAGGCTCTGGCCGTGGGGATACAATTTTTGGCCAAGTTGGCATCCCATAGGTCAGATGGTGCAAGCATGAAGTTGCGGAGTTTGTAGTAGTTGTTCTGAACTACCAAATTCCCCAAGGCTCACAGCCACAAAGTTTGCATGCCCCTGAGCCTGGCTCACGGATTTGCGCGAAGAGCCCCTGCATGTCCTTTGCATACTCATCCTTTCTCGAAGGTCCAAAGTCCAAAACCCGTCGCGGCTGGCCTGCAAACTTAGATCCAGCAGAAGTTCCCTGTGGCGTTTTAACCTGAGCATGGTGGTGGCTACAGAATGAAGCTGAGGCGGCTGAGGCTACGAGAACTCCAGAGTTCGACGTTCCACAGCATGCAGCCAAGGTGCTCGCCATCAACAACGATGCGCAGCTCACGAATGGAGTCGTTGACCTGATGCTCTTGGTTGAGGATTTGAGGATTTGGAGCTGCCGGGTTGAAGGCCTTTAAGACCAACAAGCCCCGCCGGTGCTTCAGGGAATGCTGCATCACAGCCTTCCCCTGGCACGTCCGACGTGTCCCTCTCCAGCCTGTAGAAAATCCCCGAAACTCAAGGGCCGTACTACATGTAGCGATCAAGTGAATCAACTGGCGACACAGGACTGCGGCTTGAAATGTGTGGAGTGCATGCTTGGGGGCATTTCGGCTGTTGTATAGGACTCATAGGCTGGGAGTGAAGCATCTGGTTCGCTGCTACCAACTTCTTGCACTTGAGACTTCTGGAAAATTAAACCGCCCATGCCCCGTGCCCGGCTCAACAAAAACTTAAGAAGTAGCCGACCAATGAAGCTCGGAACCTTCAGAGCAAGCATCAGGCCTCGGCACGGCCCTGCCAGTTAAGAGCTTCTTCACCAAACACCCCGAACCCAAAAGCCAAAAAAGCCAAGGGCACCTCTCCCAGGGAGGCAGTGCTTTCAGTGGCGGTGTCCTCCATCAGTGACCTAGAGGTGTCTCTCGATGCAGGGGGCTTCCGAAACGCAACTGCTCCTTGATAGAGAGCCCCTTGGGGTGAACCCATTGCGTTGAGATCAATCAATGTATCAAAAGCCCGAATGGAGCTCTTGGGGCATGAAGACCAGACTTGGAGTGTTCAACTTTTCAGGAACGATGAAGGGGACCAACCCTGCGATCCGAGGAGCATCGCTGGCTTGGAGGATATGGGCCGAAACACTTCGAGCACACAGTGGATCAGAGCTTTGACTAAACCTGCCGGGCCAACACCCTGCGGACGAGCGAAAACTGAAGCGTTCATGAAAGACAGCAAGTGATGACAACCCCTTTATGGGCTCATGATGAACTGAAGCGCGCGGCAAATGTACGGAGACATCCGCACGCAGACTTCTGTCTTAAAGGGACGAACCTGGCGTAATCACTGTGTGTGTGTTTGCACGATAGCTGCTTACGGCCGGGCCATTCTGCAGAGCCTGTCTACCTTACCGAACTATGTGCTTTACTTTTGCTGACACAATCCTCCTCCATGAGTTGGCAAAACTCAAGGGAAAAGAAACCTCAATTCAATCTCCTGACCCAGATTGCTCCCCGCACCTCATCTTGTCCAATACGCATGTCCTGCACCTCCAAGGCGTACACGCGTGCAATCTTCTCTGACCAAGAAAGCCGGCACAGTGCCACAAGCAGCTGCTGCGTTGCAAGCAGCACGCGGGGCCTTCGTCTCCAGGCTCTCCAACCGGACCGGCGGCACCGGCCGGGAGTGACCCGCCTTGCCAACAAGAACAGTGCAGCGGTAATTAATGTAATTCTGGTACATAGTAGATGAATGCATATCATGCAGGACGGCTCGACATATACAGCTTCAAGAGGTAAACCGAAAAAGCTACGATACACCATGGCTTGTACACTCGCGACTTCCACCATGCCGCCACTCATGCTGCCCAGCACTCTCTCCACTCTCCACCTACTGAGCAGCAGTCCAGCGTTGCACCTTGGACCCTCAAGAAGGCCGCGAGCTAGCATGACCGTCTCAAAGCCTGCAGTTTACAAGGCACTTCTTTTCTCGCACTGGCCTTATCGACCTCGTACTCGCCCATATTCACAATTCTTCAGTCAATGTTGAAGAGCACCCCTCTGCAAACGGCACTTCAAACGACCTACCGCAGGGCCCGGCAGAAGTATGAGAGGCTGCAGACTACTGCACATCGTCGGAGTAGGCACGTGTACGCATAATACTTGTGCATATGGGCATTGTCCAATTTCCACTTTCGCTTGAAGTTGGAAGATTCGTGTCAGTTGCGCCGGCCCCTTGCGTAGGACTGTGCACTCCCGGACTGGGCAAGCCGCTACCCCAAGCCGGCTTCAAAACGCCATCCTCAGTTGCCACGCGAGCAAGACACGCAGCAAACGCACGCCGCCTGGCATGCTCTTTCGCCACTCAAGACAGCTCTGCTGCTGTCTAATCCGAGCTTCTGATTAGGTTTTTTTCGGCCGGGAGCCCGGCCCAAGAGTACCGTTAATTAGGACCCATATGGAGCAAGAGGAGACCTACCGATTTTACCACCCATATTTGAAGTGATTTTTTTTTCATTTGTCTACGCGGGGGGGGGGGGGGGGCCTACCATTCTGCACTGGGCGTTTTTTCTTGTTCTGGGGAGGGGGGGCGACCCCCCCTGCAAATCAGAAGCTCGGATTAAGTGCTTCCAGGTGGTGCCTTCCAGCTCTCACCCAGAGTATGGAATGGAAGAGTGGTGGAGCACAATTTTCAACTTGCCGTCGGGCATCTTCTGGTAGGCAAAGCTGTACTCCACCTTCGCAACCTTGCTGTCAAAATCGGTGAAAAAATAGTTCCCCTGGGCAAACGCAAGACCATCGTAGCAACTGATCTGGCTATTCTCAAAGCGCACCTCTTTCCAGCCCTTGCCAGCATTGATAGCGAAGCCTTTATCCTCTTTGAACCCTGCCGGTTGTATGGCATCGTACCCAATGAAGTAGGACAGCGCACCTTCTGCAGATACTCGGAACGGCGTTTCTTTTGCCTTGGTCGGCTTGAAAAGCACATTTCCGACGTCGTATCCGTAAAGTTCACCTGCAGCTTCCTTTGCTACATCCTTGTACTTCTCTCCCGTTGGATTGCTCAGGTATTCTTTGGAGATTTTTAGGATAGCTGCCTTCCATTTGTCCTGAACGTTCGTAACGTCAGCTTTGCACTGTCCGTTCGGCCAAGCTTGTCCAGCACTCTGCTTCTGCAAAGAACCAAGAAAGGGATCCGAGCGAATGATCTCCTCTGCCCAAGCCGGTCGAGTCAAGGAGACTGCCGCACCTGAGACAAGACCTCCCAAGGCGAATCGTCGCGATGTTGGTGCAGGGGCTTGAGAGAAACTTGTCGCGCCCTCGGAGCAGACAAAGAGGATGGCAACTCCTGCTGTGGCAATTGCTGCAGGGAGTCTCGACGACGACCTGCGGCAAGAACGAGCTCTTGGATTCGCCGCCATCGCAGAGAAGCTTGACAGGCTGGCTGAGCTTGAGGCTTGAGGTGGAAGCTCCAGAGGATTGCACGAAACGCATACGGTGCATTGAAAGAATGGGTGAGAGCGCATCAATGAGACTGAGACAACTTGCCCCTTTCCTGCTCTTGCAAGTTCCAACAAAGCTTCGCGGCTTTTGACGTCAAAGAGCTGCAGCTGCGTGGCCTCCATCGGCGTCGCAGGTGCGGCTTGGGTCCCTGCAAGGGCAGCTGAGTGTCTTAAGGCAATGTGCCCGAGTCGGGTATTCTGTCCCTCAATGCTGCCCAAGCTCTTCGTTTTTTGAGGAGCGGCCATAGCACGGAACTCTGAAAGCTACTCGGCCAACAGTCAATTCCCAAGGCAACAACGGGGCCGGGACCACAGTGCCTTCTGTGAGAAGCCAACCCGCTACCGTACCGACCTCCAGCAGAACCACCCACAAACCTTCTTCAATAAATCTTCGTGGTGCCTGTTCCGAAGTGCAAATATTCTCCTTACTGCTCATGACCTCAGCCAGGCCTTGGCAGCTGCTGCGAGAGGCGGCAATACCCCGCCAAGCTATTCCGGCTGCGGAAAGATCTTGGACTCATCCGCTCCGTGCGGCGTCGCGACTTTCAGAACCCCGCAGAATGCAAAGCAAGCGGGGCTACCCGCGGTTTGGCAGTCTTACTTTAGCATGCCCGAGTTTCATTTGCAAGCTTTCATTTCAAGGGCTGCTTTGAGATGTGAAGATAAGATCTAGAAGCCCCCTGATGATCACCATGATGATGATGATGATGATGATGATGATGATGCTAACTCACAACAAGATTGTAGACGAGAACAACGGCGTGGCTGAGCTATGAAGCACTGGAAGAACAGCAGGAGGGATGCCCGTCTTGAAATTCAAGCACGTACTTCACAGTTGCGGGGGAGCGCCAGGATTAACACCCAAATTGACATCATACCACGTTCAAGTTCCGCAAGAGTACCAGGAACGTCCGGTTTGCGCGGGTAATTCTCCTGGGAAGCTTCAAACCTACAATCCAGTGCCGCCTTTTGTGAAGTCATGCTACTCCAAGCACCGGAGGAGCACCAGGAGAGCTGATTCATGCAGCCTCAGACTCTCTGATGATTACAGGTTTTCTTTCTAATGCAAAAAGCCAGTCTTTGACTCCTTGCGAAGGAGAAAACGACTTCAGATCATGGAAGGGGAATAACATTCAGATGCTCCAGACCTCAATTGCAATAGGATAAATTCTGCCTGGAATGGAACCGACGAAAAGTTGCCGAGGCCGATGAAGCTATGATTGCGATGGAATAATTGCCGCACGAGAAGGTGACCCCTCAATGTCTGGAATACATATGAATGCGCAAGATCGTTCATTGCAATGGCGCGATCGGCACTTCCCATCTTCAACCATTGTTAGATATGCGCAACGCTCGGTTACGCTCAACTCTCTAGTATATTGCTAGTCAAAAGCTTAGCGAAAGGCAATGGAATCAAACTACGCTTCCGACGAAGTCAGGACCGGCTTAGTGCCCAAGGAGCTGGCATTTCTTGGGCTGAAAAGGCTGTGATTTGTTCGTCTCGTTCAACAAGAGAATAAATTCGAGGTATGCTTGGATCACCAGGAGACGCGTGGGGATTGATCCTTCCGAAAATTCTACCCGGTCCCTGAATCAAGCCTCCGAGCCTCGATATTCAGAGGTCCCAAAGCTCTTGATTCAAACTGAAGAAATCACCCGCTCTCCTCCTCCAAGCTATTCCTACAGTAGTTAGGCGATGCTGAACTTCTAACAATGACAACGAAGTTTTTCATCATATCAACCAGAAACCGAAAAGGTGTCAAGTTATCAGGTTTTTGCCATAGACATCGCCATTTGTTCATTGAACACACGAAACTTTCATTGAATAACCCTCTCAGAGATCTCGCTTATCGGAACAACATTCGCGGCATTATGGTGAGGCATCGAGTGACTATCTTTGAATCCATCTCCAGAGTGACCGATTGCCGTTGCACGCTGCCTCATCCTTTTCTGTCGAGAGGTATCCGTGAAAGTTGCAGCACACTTAGCCCTGCTCGGATGTCTCGGTCTCGGCTCCTTTGAGCACTTGATGACATGTTGCTTCACCCTGCTGGATAAGGCCCATACAGAACATCATCAAAGGGACCAGACGCATGACTTGTCTGGATATGGCAAACAACACAGAGACTGCTGGCTTCTGCCAGCTAAGTGCTACAGGTTGGGCCACGCATGGAAGGCGCCGGAGTGGGACGGACAAGTCTTGAAGTAAGCGCAACTCGCACGATTTCAGGGCGTTCAGAATAGGGATGTAAAGTTCGGGCTGGGAGTCCGGGGAATGGGAATGGGTTTGGAAACATGCTCAGGGTTCGCAATAGGAAACTTGAGATCGGGGCCACGAAAGCTAGAAACGCGGCTGACAAGCAAGCTTCTTTCGAGTCAGGCGCAGGGGCTGACCAAGACGGAGGGGGAAGCCTGAAAAGGGAGGGGGGGGGGGGGGGGGCCAAAAGGGGGGGGGGGGGGGGCCCCCCCCCTCCCAGAAATCAATTAAGGCGACCCTGAAAGGAGGGGGGGGGCACCGTAAGTCAATCCTATAAAGGGGGGGGAGGGGGGGAGGGGGGGGGGCCCCCCCCCCCTCCACAGCCCTTTATCTCTCTGATTTTCAGACCACTTAAGGGTCGGAGTCGCTTTTTGACCCAGCTGAACACTAGAGAGAATTCTTGTACACGACAACTCTCGCGAGCTCCAAGGAGCTAGCTTTCGTGATTACACACAGGCCTGCTCAAAACAACGAGACTAGTGAAACTGTCGATTGGCACGTGAAATCTAACACAAACCCATGAAACAAACGCATGACAAACGTCATCATCATCATCATCGTCATCGTCATCGTCAGAAGTTGACAACAATGCTTCTCGTACCACAAACACCACATGCATAAAGCTCTGTTTGTTGCGTGCTCGCATCCCGTCCGATCCTGTATCGCTCCACGTCAACGGAGAGCACTGCTAATGCACAAGGCTGGACATGGACCGCACTCGTGGATGACTTTGCTCCACAAGGCGAGGCATCACTCCAGGTGCCCATCTGTGTTGCTCTTCGTCGGAGATACACCGCATACACCGCTTGCTTGTCCCACGGGCGTCTTCCAAGTCAACCGCGGTCTCCAAAGAACTTTTAGAGCTGGTGGCCGATGTCAGATGTGCAATCTCATCCAGGAAGATTCACCTCCGCTACGCGCATGCCTTAATAAGGCATGCACGCACCAAGAATTAGCGATGGGTCATTTGCTAAGGCTCCAAGGGAAGCCAACCACTCCGACCAGCCGTCGGAAGCGGAGCCTGTCTTCATGTACTTGTATTCCACTCCGAAAAAGTTCCTCTTCCTTCCCAGCTTCTTGCAACGGACGCGCTTCTCTTTCAGAGCCTGCGTCCTGACAGTTCTGACAGTTGTTTTCAGTATCATATGAATGCAAACTTAAAACTGCACTGAGATTATCCCAGCAATGACACTTTTCTGCCTTTGTAGACGCCGCTGCTGCAAGACCTCCATGCATGTACTATGTATGTCTGACTGCACATATGTACAATACATGAACATATATACATATATATGAGAAAAGAATATCTGGAGTTGTTTCGAACTTGCTTGGCCCCAAACACATCTTCTACTCGAAAGCAATGTTCTTTTCGCAAAACTTTACGGGGATCCAACGCCGCGCGTCCTTAACATGTATCTGGAACCAAGTGCTGAAGCTTTTGCCTTCAAACCCATGCTGGGAAATCAAGGCAGAGGTAAGCAAGACTGAAAGGCTGACCCCAAAATGATTTGTACATGTATTTTCGGCGAGTCCTTGCGTTTCTCGGTACGCCATGGAGTTTCATATCATAAATTTTGACTTCTTGTGAATCGTTGTTGGTACGCCATGGGGCTTGTGTGGCTAGATGTATGAATCGTTTCCCGGCGTGCCATGGGGTTTGGTACCACAAGATTTGTTGCGTTAAAATCCATGAATACGTTGTTCTGTTATGGAGCCTGGTATCACAAGTGATGTTTCATACCTGAAGCATTTTCGGTGTGTCGTTGGTATCCTCAAAAACAGCCCACGTATTGAGGGCGCGGAGTTTAGCTTATGCGAAACATGCTCGTATCATTCACGGCCGAAACGATTCAGAATCCTATTCTCCCCTAAGATCGAACCCAAACACGGAACTTACGCAATGACGACTGCGCTTACCAGTTGTTGCCTTCTAGGCATGTTTCTCAATACACTTATTTCACACAGTTTCCAAGATGCGACGCGGCGCCTGACCCTGACCTAAAGTCTTCATGGTTTGAACATCGTAGTCGTGGTAGTGGCAGTCTTGTGTGTACATATACACTGAAGCAAGCCATTGCAACAAAAAGCGAAACAAACCACTGAGACCAAAAACACCCAAGTCACCCATAAAACCTGGAAAACCACACCTGCGCGCCACTCTCGCTGCGCGATGAAGTTCGGAAAGCCAGGTAGTCACGCTCCTCAGGATATTGTCTGGGGTAAGCAGAGAGGATACGCAAAAAGCATTCAGTTAGCAAAGTTGCTTCCAAGCAATCGGACAATTGCCATATGAACCTTGGCTAGCTTTCTCGAATCTGGGCACTGTGATCTATGCAAATGGGGCGGGCGTGGCACAGGGTCGAGAGCTTTCAGCATCTCGTGGGGTCATTTTTGCTGATTCCATGGCACGCTAGGTCACGTTGATACGCAAACATGTATTGAACTTTACTGCCAACAGCTCGCTCCAGACCCGCTACGTCATGCTACAATGCCTGTCTGCCAAGCCACTCTGGATGCAAATCCTCAAATTTGAGAGCCGTGGCGTCATCCTTGCACCTAACCCACACACGCATTGCAACGGCATTTGTCTAGAGACGAGAAGTGGGCCCCGACACCAGTTCAAGCGCGAGCTCATCACCTTGCGCCAGATGCCACACGGACGTTGCATTACGCACACGCACACATGTACACGTATCACTCAGATGTCACCTCTCCTCTTCCTTCTCTCTCTCTCCCTCCCTCTCTCTCTCTAACTCCCGCTCGCTCGCTCCTTCTCTCTCTCTCTCTCTCTCTTTCTTTCTTTGGGGCATGAGGCGGCGAGCCCCGCGCAGTTGCGCAGCCCCGCTCCCGTTTCTATCCACAACAACGACCTGCAGTGGCCCTATTCCCATCCATCCCCCAAGTGCCTCCCTCCAGGAATGTCTCGGGCCCCCCTACCCGTTCCCCCAACTCACATACAAATCCGAACCCAGGCAAACCTTCCTGAAGCAACCTCCCCGCCCCCACACAATCTTATCCGGCCCTGACATCCTGTCAGGTGTGGCGCTGTAGCTTGGGGGTTGCATTGCCTTCTCATATATCCCGGCTAACCCCGTGCTCATTCAAGTGGCAATGCTGCAGGTATGTATGCGTATCTTCTCTCTTTCTTTCTTTCTTAAGGGCTTGAGGAGCCCAGGGCCCCCCGTCTCTCTCTCTCTCTCTCTTTCTCTCCTTCTCTTTTCTTCTTCTTCTTCTTCTTCTTCTTCTTCTTCTTCTTCTTCTGCAGGGCTTGAAGGACCCTAAGGCCCTCCGCGCGCGCGCCCAGTCCACACAGTCTCGTTGGTGAGAAGTCTGGACTTTCCCCGGCTGGGGAGTTTCCGCCTCCCCCCACCACGCCTTAGCTATTATCTTTCGCTATGTGTTCCCTCCCTTTGCCGGTGCCCAGTTGGCCTACTCTGCAGCACTCTCTTTCTTCTTTTTCTTCTTCTTCTTCTGGGCCTGAGGGGCCCCCCGAGGAGGTCCCCACGTGCGCCCGTGTTCGGTCCGTTCGTGAAATTGATATCTGGAGGCTCAATGGTCTCCCCCTTGTGACCCCTGCCCCCGATGCACACAAATATAGTATGTCAGCTAATCCACTGCCCCTCCTATCGGGTCTCAGGGCTCGCTCGCTCTCTCTCTCTCTCTCTCTCTCTCTCTCTCTCTGTAACTCCCGATCTCGCACTCGCTCACTCGCTCACTCGCTCACTCGCTCACTCGCTCACTCGCTCACTCTCTCACTCGCTCACTCTCACTCTCTCGCTCACACTCTCACTCTCACACTCTCACACTCTCACACTCTCACGCTCTCACGCTCTCACGCTCTCACGCTCTCACGCTCTCACACTCTCACTCTCTCACTCTCTCACTCTCTCACTCTCTCACTCTCTCACTCTCTCACTCTCTCACTCTCTCGCCCTCTCACTCTCTCTCTCTCTCTCTCTCTCTCTCTCCCGCTCTCTCTCTGTGTCAGCGCGCTTAGCCTCCCCGAAAGGGATCTGCCCCAAGGGGCGCAACTTCTTCTTCTTCTTCTTCTTCTTCTTCTTCTTCTTCTTCTTCTTCTTCTTCGGGGCTTGAAGGGTGCAGGCACGCCGCGCAACTTTCTTTCTCTCTCTTCTTCTTCTTCTTCTTCTTCTTCTTCTTCTTCTTCTTCTTCTTCTTCTTCTTCTTCTTCTTCTTCTTCTTCTTCTACAGGGCTTGAGGGACCCAGGGGGCCCCCCGCGCGCACAGGCGCGCCCAGCACCTCAGTCCGTCCTTTATGTGAGACAACGGCTAGCGTTCCCCGCCTCCTCCCTCTCTCTCTCTCTCTCTCTCTCTCTCTCTCCCCCTCCACACACACCTCTCCCAACGAAAGAGAAAGCAGAAGACGAGGAAAAGAGGTCGACCCGACGGAAAATCATTGGCGTGAAGGAGGCTAAGATTGCTACGAGGAGGAGCCAGCATAAACGACCTCAACCAGATCTAGCTGGCACAGATAAGGAGGCAGAAACAGGAACATTCCGGACAACTGTGCGTGTCGATGACCTCGAACACAAATGCAAACGTGAGTGCAAACCCAGTGGGAATCCGCATGGTGACAATTCTCGCTACATTATATAGGAGCTAGATCCTGAACCTTTGTGCGCACGAACCCTGGCCAGTTCCTGGCCTGAGCCCGGCCCCTGGCAGCAATGAAGCAACGGCCACCAAATCATCACAGCTGTAGGAGCCAATCGCTGCAAACAACATGTTTAGCACCACCTCACTGAAGTTCATGTTTTGCAACTGCTCAGCAAACTGGGGATTCAACCCATTTTTTTCAACCTCTCGCCCCAGAACGTTACAACTCATGCACTCTGCGTGTGAATTCCTCGGTTGCGCGCAGGCGCAAGCCGCTGCTGCCTCCAGCTGGATCAAATGGAGCAGCAGCATGCAGCTCCAACATCAGAAGATCCATCAAGACGAGTGAAGCCGGACCTGCGGACATTTTATTGTGAACACCAAGCTGCTGGGCTCACACACCAGCACACACCTTGATGCTGCGACAACCGTCTTGAAAGGAGCAGCACGGTCGCATCGCAGACGTAGTATTGGGTAGCTCGAAAGAGCCTCACAAGCAAATTGCAAAGGAAACAACTCCAAGGACTACCTCATTTGACCTGACAGCTCACCTCACTTCACATCACAACTTCATCACGCACATCGCCTCCTCACTTGTTCATGGGCCCACTCGTTCATGGGCCCACTCCCCCTTTTCACTCTTTCAAGAGACCTCCTTTCACTCCCTCACTTCACTCAATGCACTCGTGATACACCTGCACTCACTTTGGTGAACTTCGCTCACTGCACTTATGCTGACTTCGCTCACTTAGCTCACTTCACTCACCTCAGCCTCAAGTCGCATCTCTACACGAATACGACCACGACGACGACTACTCATCACTAATCACATGTCACTAGCACTAACAGACTAACACTACTACTCCTCCTGCCTCTACTCCCCACTACTACTCATGCTGATAAACCAAACCAAAAGAACCAAACGATTGCTACACTGACGTCGCTTCAATTCAGCGCTTTAGGCTTTAGTCCTTCACTGCAGAACATCACTACGCCGCACTCATGTCACCACTTCACTCAGTTCCCCCACGCGTTTCCCGCGCAACTGTCACTTCAACCCCCCCCCTTCCCTCCGAATCTGACGCAATCAACCTTTCGCTCCGTTCTCATGTGGTCTCTACTGCAGCCTGCTGCCGCGACATCATCCCGCAACATGAACCAGTGCAGCCCCGCTAAAGCGCAGCTCGGGCGTCGACATGTGGAAGGGCTCGGGCAGCCCTCCTGAACTGCGCAGGAACCGAAACAATCAATGGCTCGAGGAATGCATCTGGGCTTCTAGCTGCCAGTACTCAATAACAAGAGTGCTGCACATCGGATCGTTCCTGGGCCAGGCAGCAGAAGCTTTAACTGGCACTGATGCCATACTATGTAGAAACCGCAAGCCGCAAACCGGGAGACATGAACAACTACCACGGCAACCCAACGGAGAATCAGTGTCAGTCAAGTTGGCTGATTCCGAGTCCCCAACTTCCACGAAGAAGATACAGTGCGCCAAGCATTGGCACTTGGTGAACTTGGAATTCGGAAGCGCTTGCTTGCACCGAAAGTTCTCGCACCCGCGTACGTCGAGTCTCTAGCTCTACATCCGTCGGAGCAACTTCCTGCCAAGCCCATGAAGCAGATTCTTGAGTCAGCATAATGTTGTGAGTCACGTATCTAGGTAACATGGCCTGCTGGCAGCAACAGCAACATGTGCACATGGCTGCGTCAGACGCAGCTGCTCCCTGCCAGAATCATCAAGCTTTAAAACACATTGACACATCACGTTGATGTGAATTACGAGCTCCATCTAGCCTGATGGCAACACCCAATCTGTGCGTCAGATGCCGTGTCTCCCTGCCAATATTGTCAAACAAAAGCACATCACATCTTGCTGTGTATCACGAGCTTCGCGTGGCCTGATGTAGTTCTGTGGAATCAACTTCCTGCAAGACTCATGATCGTGAAACAGGCTCACAAAGAAAGCTGCAAATCAGGAACGGCACATGCGTTCTGGCCTGGGGGCAGCAAATTGCACACGTCACGGTCTCCCGGCTCCACGAGCCGCGTTTAGCCTGGATGGCTTCGTACGCCTGAACACGGCGATGAACACGGTGAGAGGACAAGCACTTGTTGCGGTGTGTGCGTTCATTCCGGTAAATCACGATGCTGGAGCCAGCGACAAATGCAACCACGGCAGAAAGCGCAAACAACTGCTTCGAACACAACCCCATGGCGTGCCTCGTCATGCTGCGATGCTCGTCGAAGAGATTTTGGCGCGAGCCATAGCTCAAGCGGCCGAGGTGACGGATCATCACCATCATCAACGTAAGTGCGGGGATCCTGTCCTGCACTCTCCAACTCCAACCGGCATGCAAGCCAAGCACAACAGAACAGTGTTACTATGAGACTATGAGACACATGATCTGCGACACACCTGCTTGCAAGATGCCGACTTCTCTCAGAGGACGCTCGGCAATGATAAGCAACTCTTCTGTTTGCCCACTTTCCTCAACACACAGATGGCTCGAAATTGACATGCTGCTGTAGTGGGTACTGTAGCGGACTGAGGCTGCTGCTCCTTCTTTGTATTCCAAAGTTGGAACTATGATTCGACGCTCACCGGCAAGTGTATAGGAGAGCAAAGGCCTTGAGAAACGCAAACAACTCATGAGAAGCCTTTCTGACTTGTCCAGCTACGAAGACTCAGGCTTCAACGGTCCGGTGATGAGAACAACATGACCATAATGGCAGGCAGCGTCTCTCACAACGAAGAAATCGCCAATGTCTACATCCTCCAGACGAGGCTGAGCCAAGGCCTGCACGGAAAGGAAACTTGATCATCGCTGTTCCTGCTTGCCGACGCGGAAGCGGCACTGCCTCTGATGGGGATCTCGGCGTCGAGCAAGCCTCGTCAGCACGAAGAAGATGCGTAGAAGCCCAACGGTCTCCGGCAATAGCTGTGCAATACAAGTCTTCTCTTTGGAAGTTTGCGCAGCTAGTTGATTGATAAATCGGTGTAATTGTTGGTGTGTTCGCTCATGCATGTGGCATCCGCTTTTGTTATCAACATTGTTCAGCTCATGAGTTTCCAAGAAATACGACGATTACGCACGTGAGGTCTGCCACTTCATACGCGTAGGCATGCATGTTTACATCGGACTCCTATCATAGGAAGCGATTGACGAATGCACGACTTAAAGCACAAGCAGAAGCGAAGTCAACAGGAGTAATAGATAGGCGAGAATGAAGACTAGATGGCGAAAACGCCCCTTCAAAAGATTCTACAATCGAAGCAGCCAAGATGCACCAGAGTGAACGGCAGCTTCTTTCGCGCAAGTTGCCCAGCCATCTCTGTTTCTCGTGCACATTAAAACCCGCCGGGCGTAGGCCCCAGTGAAAGATCATGCGCCATGTGCATCCTGAACTTGGGCGACTACAACGACCCCACCACGATGGCCATGCCAAGACGACCACGACTATCACGACTGCCAGGACCACCACGACTACGATCAGGACCACCACGCGACCACCACGAGGACCACGACGACCAGCAGCACTGGACAACGGCGACACGAAACACAAGTGTGTCTCCCGCGCTTTGGGCTTGGCTTTGATCTCCAAAAGAATCGTCCCCACTGTTGGCGAGGGGCTCAGGTTGCCGTTTCTCAGGGACCGTAATTTTTGAGTGAGTTGCGCTCGCATTTTCAACGGGGAAGAGCGTCATCTTCCAAAACAGAACATAAACGGCTGGATATGCATCCAAACGGGCAACCTTCAGGGACGCCTAATCAGTAAACTTGGGAGAGTCCTCGGTTTTGGGATTTTCGTGGATATGAGGATGAGTTTAGCAGCACCAGAAATACAGAACTGTAATCCTGTAATCATAGTAGTGCTAGTACTCGCCATAGTCGTCGTCGTGGTCGTGGCAAACAAACCTAGAGGAGGGCTTGCCTCAAGTATGCATCCAAGTGAAATCTCAAGCAGAGACACACTGCAAGCAGCTGAACTGATCATCAACCTCGTTGGAGGAAGAAGTGATACGGTGATACGGATTGCTGCGATGTATCTATCCGGAATGCCCAGGGCTCAGTCATGAATGAATAAATCCATACCTAAAAGAAAATCTGCGTCGATCACTGACGGAATGCATCTGGGCAAGCTGTCCTGGGGCGTTGCCTTTTCGTGGCGGCCGAGCAAACAACAAACACAAGGCCAAGTTTCGTTTTGGATACGCAGAAACGTCAGTCCAGGTCATGGGGCGTGCAGCTGCTCCGTGTGCCTGCTCACTCCTCACTCACTCACCTGAGCAAGCTGCGACCTGTGGTGCTTATTTCGTTTCTCTTCGCAAGGTGGTCGTTTTCTTGCGTACGCGTCGGGCTAGGAAAACAGCAGCAGCCTGCCTTGAGCAGCTAACGCTCATCGAGCCAAGCGACAGTTTCTGAGTTCACTGAGTTCACGGACTCCGAGTCCACTTCTCCAATCGGTGTGGACATGAGAAATGGGTGCCGGCATGGATTCATTGGTATATGGCTCACTGCTGGGAAAACCTCACAAGAGGACATTTCCGGCACTTTACGGCAAATTGACGGGCAAGTCCCACCTGCTGGGACAAACCCAAGACTCCTTTTCGGGTTTAATTTAAGGATATTCGCCTCGGCTTCCTGCCGAGAAGCGTCTGGAACAAGCAGATACGGATCGGGCAACCCTTCCCCCCAATGCAAATTTGTGACGCGACCCCCCCCCCCCCGCCCTGTGGGACCCCCCCAATCGCTTGGGGGAGCTGCAAACCGATGCCGAGGGTCCCGCCTCTCAATGCCACTACAAGGGGAGTGCCTCAAAACGCCCCCCCCCCCCCAAATAATTTTCACCCCCCCCCCCCCCCCCCCCCGTGTGCAGCTTAAATAGGGTTTATTTGGAAGCTGGCACTCGTGTTCACAAGAGGAAAAAAGGCCCCAAAACGTATACTTATTTACAAGAGCCAACTTCCAAATAGACCCTAATTTAGGTCCTAGGGGGGGTCCCAGGCCTGAATTAAATATGAAGGCCCCGATTTGAATATGAATATTTAATTCTGGAGCTTCATATTTAAATTATTTAATTCGGGCCCGGGAATTAAATAATTTAAATAACTTAAATAATTTAAATAATTTAAATCCTGGAGGGGGGGGGGCGGGCCTCCTCCCGCAGGAGGAATTAAATAATTTAAATATGAAGGCCCCGAATTAAATATTAATATCTAATTCGGAGCCTTCATATTTAAATTATTTAATTCTTCCTGCGGGAGGAGGCCCGCCCCCCCCCTCCAGGATTTAAAATATTTAAATTATTTAAATTATTTAAATTATTTAAATTATTTAATTCCCGGGCCCGATTTAAATACGATTTAAATATGAATTCGGGGCTTCATATTTAAATTATTTAACGATTTAAATAAATGGAGCCTCCTCCCGCAGGAGGAATTAAATAATTTAAATATGAAGGCCCCGAATTAAATATTAATATTTAATTCGGGGCCTTCATATTTAAATTATTTAATTCCTCCTGCGGGAGGAGGCCCGGCCCCCCCCCCTCCAGGATTTAAAATATTTAAATTATTTAAATTATTTAAATTATTTAAAAATT